GCAAATATATGGGGAAACTAATGGTGAACTAATGAACATTTTCTCAGTGCCTTCTTATCTCCAGTGGCACAGGAAGTGGGGAAAGGGGCACCTTAACAAGGGGGAATTTATGTTCTGTTTTCAGGCAGCCAGGTGGAGGGCAGAGAACGTTTCTTATATCTGCTTCTCAGTTGCCTTTGACTCAAATTAATACTGGCGCCAAAGTGACATCTTCTGGGGTAGTGTATTATGCTACTCTTCACTATGAATCAGCAAAAAGATGAGGTCCTATCTCTGAGAAAGCAGGAGAATTCATTCTGTGCCAGGTACTGTGCTAATTTTGTAATCATTATCTGGTTAACCCTTCCCACAACCTCAGAGGGCAGGTTCTATTATGATTCTAATACCCGTTTTATAGCTGAGGAAAGTGAACCATCTAAAGTGACCTGTCCCTGTCCCTATCACAGAGCTGGCAAAGCAGCCAACCAACAGAATATAGACTGAGACAGGTCTGAATGCAAGCCTCCCTGGACAGGGGACCCCAATGCTCCAACCACTTATTTGTCCCACTGAGGACAACGACAGGAAGGAGCTTCTTGGTAAGGCAAAATGCAGCCATTCACTGTTTCTTTCTCCTCTTCTTCCTCCTCTAAGTGGGGCATGCTTTCCCCACAGCAGCTAGCGTAAGGTTTTCAGACTGGTCTCCTAGATCTAACAAACCCATACCGATTTCAGTAATAGTCTGATAGAAGATGGCCCCTTGGGAAAAGGAACCTGAACTTTATCAGGATAGCCCAGGGAGAGGGAAAAAGAAACAACCTGGGGACCCTGACTAATTTGACAAATGAATGTATTACTGTGGGAGGGTCTGAATCATTAGAGCTTTGGGGACATGCCAACTATGATAAATAAATTGGGTTTCAGTGTACTGTACCGAATCGCTACATCCCTGTAGGCACTTCAACACAGCGCCAGACCTGAGCATGAAGAAGTCTGCCATTTTGGTTGAAAAGATTCCCATTCCCACCTGGCAAATTTCCCTCACCTCGGGATTTACGCATTCCTGCCCAAACTGTCAGGGACTAGATCAACATCCAGTACCTCACTCAGCCCCTAGGGGCTCTTCCCTCCTGGGTCATTCTGTAAATGAGTTACTGAAAGTATATGACAGCCTTTAACTAGTAACACTCCACCTTGACCATCTCTAGTTAGCTGGATTTCTGCTTAACTGAAGGTTAAATAAAATCTGCCTTGTTTCCTTCCTTGTTACTGAAAATCTTTCTAAACTGTGTTAGTTCACCTACCTGCCTACGTTTCTGGAGTAGAATAAAAATAATTACATTTTTGCTTGATGACCGCACATCTTGCAGTGCCTCGGGGCACTATTCTTGCCTCGTGGTTAGGATTAAAATCTGACTGTAGTAGTAGACTTGTGAGAAATTGGGCACCAGCGATCCTAAGTTGAAAAGAACTTAATTTAATTTTATGGAGAGAAACGCGGCATCTTGCCTTCCCAGTTCCTAGCAGAGCGTCAAGAGTATTTTTCTCCAAAATGCTGGAGTCACTGAATACATGCTATGAATTTATTTCTTGCAGTCCCCCCTCCCCAATAATTGTATCTGCTCTTTATTGATTGCTAATGGTAGTTCTAGGTGTTGTGCTTAGCCCTGTGCATGCTTTACAGCATTTCACCCCATGTTGCCACACGGTGGGTGGGCTTTATTCTACAGATGAGGTAAAGGAGCCTCAGAGAAGTTGAGTGACTTGGCATATGTTCTAAAACTACTAGCAAGGGACAAAACAGAATTCACAATACTTGAGGGGTTTTATTTATGGATGGCAGTCTTCCTCTGCATGAGGGGCTAGATATGGCAGAACTGCTCCAAAACCACGAGAAAATGGAACCAATCGGAAGCAAAATTGAGGTGGGGAAGACAGACACTTATCCCATGGTCCTAGACTTCCCATAGACTGGGGAGTCAGTACAGTTTAGTAATCCCCGAGAAGGGATTTTTGCATTATCTGTGGGGAAGGACCAGACTGTTTGTTTTGTTTGCTTGCCGTGTTTGTAATTTCTAACCCTTTGTGCGGGGTACCTTTGCAGAATAATAACATCGATATCAATGACTAGACAAATGCGGTAAAAATAATACCATGAGTACAAGCCCTTTTTTTTTTTTTTTAATGTTTTATTTCTGAGACAGAGAGAGAGAGACAGCATGAGCGGGGAGGATCAAAGAGAGAGGGAGGTTCAGAACCTGAAACAGGCTCCAGGCTCTGAGCTGGCAGTCAGCACAGAGCCCGACGCGGGGCTCGAACCCACGAAATGTGAGATCATGACCTGAGCCGAAGTCGGACGCCTAACCGACTGAGCCACCCAGACGCCCCAAGCCCTAATGTTTAAAAAATAATTGTTATTAGATTTACAGAGATACAGGAATTGTCAAATGGTTGCAGAATTCCCAGTTTCTGTTCTTTCTCTGGAGACAGGGAACATCCGGGGGACCCACATCTGGGGCTTCCATTCCCCTGTAGAGTGCTGATGGGATTTTGGAGTGATGGGGGTCCGGAGCTGACGGCCAAGAAAGAATTCTTGAGACGTCATTGGTGCAAAGCAGGTGATTTTATTAGAGCACAGGGACAGGACCTATGGGCAGAAATACCCACACTTGGTCATATACTATGGAGCTGGGGGAGGTAAAGACAAAAGAGAGCCCTCCCCCCCCAGCAGGACTTTCTTATGCTAAAGAAGACTCATAAGATATCCCAGACCTAGCTCTTGTCACACTAAGGTTGTTTTCCCCCTCGTCAGGCATTAACATCATGACGGTAGGGAGTTCCTGGAGAAATGTGACTGTATTTGCCTCAAGTATTTGTCAATGGGCTGCAGGTTAGAAAGAAATTTAATTTTGCCTGACATTTCCTTCTAGCCTCTGTTCCCCATATCGCTATGGAGGGGAGGGTGATGCTGGGGCTCCAAAATGGTGTCTATAGGTTTCTAGAGATTAGGCTATTGATAAGATTGTCTTTTTCTTGTAGTTTCCTAAGATATTTGGAAAGTGATGGAGACCCATGTCTTGCAAGACTGATCTCTATCAGTTACTCATTTGGGTTTTTTTTTTCCCCCTTTCCTTTGTTCACGGGCAGCAGGAGTGCCTGAGGAAAATCATATATACCATACCTGGATGGGGGGGAGGGTGTTGTTAGCTTGTGCTATGCCCGCAGGTTCCTGTGCCCCCTCATCAATGCTGGTTAGACTGCCCCTCCTCCGAGTGTGTGGTCTTTAACCTGGCAGCGTGGTCCTCACCTGGGAGCTGAGCTTGTTGGAAATGCAGGATCTCAGGCCCCCAGGCCCCCACTTCGTAGTCAACCTACTGAATCAGAACTTGCAGCTTAGCACAAGGTCACCAGGTGATTCTTGTGCACGTTAGTGTTTGGGCAGCAGGGTCTTAGAACATAGACTCTGAAGTCAGACTACCTGCTTTAATCAAGCTCTTACCTCTTACTTCTGTGTGACCCTGAGCATCTCACTTAACCTTTCTGTGCTTCAGTTCCCTCGTTTTAACAGTGCACCCCTCTCTGGGCTATAGTGAGCACTTGCAGGTAATAACACCTGAATGGTTAAAGCCAGATGACTTAAGCCCTGTGGAGCTCTGCATTGTAAGATAATGGCTCTGGAGCTGTTGTTACTGTTAATGATTAAAAAACATTTTTTTTTCTAAGCCAGCCTATTGTCTTTGAGGCCTACGCGTCCAGGCCAAGGAGGTTTGCTTTGACGGTTGATAAGGGAGTATCAGGCAAGCAGAGGGCAAAGCCCAAGCTAGCACTGCCCCTCCCACCCCCAAGGGTGAAATATACATGATATTTGTTAGGCGCCCCAGGCTGCCTAAGAACAAAGAGAAAATGAATGGTTAAACTGACAGGAGTCTCCTTCAGTTTATGAATAACTTAGTAAACTGCAGGAAAAAGGCAATCTTATCCCAAGCCCAATCTCCAGAAACCTATAGACTCCGTTTCCTGGAACCCCAATATCACCCTCATCAAGATGTGAGGGGGGTTAAGTACTTGCCATGGCGATGTGGGGAACAAAGGCAAATGGAACCTTAAATTGCCTTACTGCCTACAGCTCACTGACAAGTCCTTGAAACCTGGAGAGTGACCTTCCTCTAGAAGCTCATGCCTCAATGATGACACTTCGCTGGGGGCAAAAGGGACTCTTGGATTAACATTATCCTGACCTCCCAGGATCCTGGGAGTCTCCTTAAACACATAAAAATTCCTTTGCAAACCTCCTTTATCTTTAACTCCCGAGAATATACTGGCAATTATTCTCCAGCCCAGCATATGGCCCCTGATATACATCTGAAGGGTCTCATGACTGAGGTTTTACTCAACAGTAATAAATGACGTTTTCCTAACAACAGCAAGCTCCTCAAGGTCCTGGAAACCTTGATTCCAAAATTCCTTAGAGACTTATGCTGTCCCTAACCCCCGCCGAACCTGAAGGCATATAATCAGTCCTCTTCACAACCTCAGTGCAGCCCTTTCTGTCCACGGGTCCTGTCCCCATGCTTTAATAAAACCACCTTTTGAACCACAGCCGTCTTCAAGGATTCTTTCTTGGCCATCGCCTCTGAACCCCACCATCACCCCAAAACCCCATCAACGGTCGCATTACCTTTTAGCTGTACAGAGGGTTCCCCTTCCCCTATTTGATCCACATTATTTAAATGGCCGCTGAGGTCATTTAAAACCCACTGGGGTTTCACCCCACTCAGGACCATCTGTTCATACTAACCCCTGTACTGAACAAGTAAGACCGCAAGGGGCCCCGCAAACTGGGAAATTCGGGTTTCCCAGGATGCTGAGGGCAGATCTCACTGTGGTTTGGTGGGACTCTCTGGCTCATGGAGCCCAGGCAGTTCAGCCGGGAGAGAGGAGCCACACTCTGCTCTGGGTGGTGGAGTTTCAGAGTCATGGCTGAATTGCCTTCTTTTCTTCTGTTATCTCTGCAGATGACCCCCAGCGTGTCCAGTGATGAGACTACCGTTCCTGTGAGCCTGGGCCAGGAAAAGGCAGTAGACAAAGGGAACAGTCAGTCAAGTAGAGTTTGCTGGAGATATACGTGGAAACCTCCGCACAGACGCAGGGCTGCTGGATTTATAAGGAGGGTGAGATGATTTGTTCTTGTGCGCTAAGATAAGGGTAAACAAATTTCATGCTGCGATGTCAGCCCCTATCTGCAGAAGTCAGGAAAGATTCCCTGCCCTGTTGCCGAATCGTGTGCCTGACAAATTATCCTCAGGGGATATTTCTCTGGAGACTTCATCTAGCGGTCACGCGAGGGCCTGAGTATGATAGGTGGAAAGACGAGCCTGGGTGCAGAGGAGGGAGACGCTTGTGTTCCGACGCATCTGGAAGCCCAGAAATGAAAGTGGCCACAGCGCTGGGGTGGCATTGGGTAGTTCCGTGGGATCCGTGGGCAGGATTGAGGAGATATGCCTGGAAATGTGTGTTCCTGTTTTACCGAGTGCTTAGCCTTGGTCCAGTAGTCACGGGCACCTTGGGTCTGCTCTGTATACTGTCAACGGCAGGTAAGTAAGTATGGCTAGTTGCTCATCACCCCTCTGCAGAAGGAAGCCTTGGCTGTCTCTGCCATCCCTTCTGCTTCTGCCTCTTTTTTTTTTTTTTAATTTTTTAACGTTTATTTGTGAGAGACGAGAGTGTGAGTGGGGGAGGGGCAGAGAGAGAGGGAGAGAGAATCTGAAACAGGCTCCAGGCTCTGAGCTGTCAGCACAGAGCCTGATACGGGGCTCGAACCCCCTAACCGCGAGATCATGACCTGAGCCCAAGTCAGACGCTCAACCAACTGAGCTACCCAGGCGCCCCTTTATTTTTGAGAGAGAGAGAGAGAGAGAGAGAGAGTGTGCATGCACAAGTGGGACAGAGGGGGAAAGAGAATCTCAAGCAGGCTCCACGCCCAGCATGGAGCCCAACGTGGGGCTCCATCTCATGACCGTGAGATCTCACCTGAGCTGAAATCAAGAGTCTGACACTTACCTGATTGAGCTACCCAAGCGCCCCATTTTTCTGTTTGTTTTTGAACCTCTTTAAAAAATACTGGAGTGCAACTTAAAATTTGGAAAGTCTGTTATTCTATAGGATACATTATTTGGTGTTTTGCCTGTATTTGTTTTATACTCTTAATCATTCTATCTGTAATTATTATTCTCCCCTCTGCATATATTCAAACTGAGGCTCCAGAACCAAGAAAACACAGCTCTTGTGTCGCGAAACCCAAGCTGATCCCAGAGTCCTGATCCAGGATGTATTGTTATCCATGTGCCTTTGGGCATTTCTCTGGGCCTAGGCCTGGGTCTCATTTTCCCCATGTGTCAAATATGGGGAGAGACGGGTTAAGGTCCCATCCGCTGCTTGTCAGTGGCGTCAGAGAAGTGTAGAAGGAGGAAGTGTGCAGTCAGGCAGACTGGGTTTTAAGGCTTGAACAACGTCATGTGTGAGTCCCCAGGAAACTGGATGTTGCTACACGGCCTTGGGTGTGAGAAAAGTGAACAGGGTGCCAGTCAGTAGTGCAGGGCCTTCAAGAGGCAATTCATCCCAGAGCCTGGAAGTCCAGTGTGCAACAGATGAGTGACCAGACTGGTGTCATTGAGAATGTTGATCCCAAAAGATGGCGTGGTCATGTCTCTGTGTTTGCACACTCATGCACACATGGATACGATCATCAAGAGAGTGTGTGTAGCCAGAGACTCAAGAGACATAGGCTAAGATTCTTTTATGTTGCAGATGGTATCATCCACATTCTCTGGCTTCCCCAGACAGGACTTTGAAGATTATGAAGGTCTCCTATTAATTAGTCTTCCTCTGCCCATGCTTTTCCATATTCTTGGTGTAGGTAGTGCATGTCATATGTTCCTTTTTCTGGAAAACAAATAGAGTAATGTATATGTGTGTACATATATATGTATATATATACATACATATACATATCACTATGTTTATTGTTTTTTTCCCATGATTTTTTCCATATGTAGACTATTCTGAAAGTCCATCCACAAAGCTGGTAAGCATAGTTGCCTCTGGGTAGGGAATCTACCCAGAGGTACGAAAGAGAATAATTTTGCATAACATCCTCTTTTATATTTCTTGAATCTTTTCATCATGGATATGGATTCCTTATTTAAAACAGTAAACTTAAAGAAAAAATAAATTAAAAAACAAACAAACATGGTCAAGTGTCTATCTTACACTTGGCTGTTTCTGAATTGGAAATTCTGAATTTCCTCTGAGCAGATGATTGTTTTTGAATGTGGATTAACTCTCAAAGTATTTATGATACAGTTAAGGGCTGTTTAGGGCTCATCAGAATGAGGTAGACTGAAGGCAGGGCCGTGGACGTGAGGAGGATGGAAATGCCCGAGAGGGGGGCCGCTCCTCCAACCTCAGCCAGGAAAGGCCTGGCCACTGGGGCCTGATGGGTACCGGTAATGCCCGCACATCGGTTAACAAATGAGGTGGACTCTTCGTCTTGGCTGACAAAGGAGTATTTAGGCGTTTTGGGAGATCTGAACCGGACTTAGGGAACTTCTTTTTTAGTTTTGAAAGTAATTCGGCTGCATGTACCGAACCTTTGTTGCTGGACTGACCTGTGGCCACAGAACTGAGGTGCAGACTTTAAATGCAGAGCTAGCTGACTTTCTTTAACTCCTGCCCTGGGCCGAATGGTGTAGGCATCCTGCAGCTCTTAAACAATCCTAACAAGTAGTGTTCCGTTTTACCTGTGAATAAACTTACGACCACAAGAAGTCAGGGGTTAATCAACTGGCCCCGGATGTCACAGCTAGTATGGCAGAGTCACAATATGACACCAGATTCTCTTTGATTCCAAACCCTAGGCTTTACCCAACACTGTCTAAGGAAAAGAAACTCGGGGCGGGGGTGGGGCCCTGGGTGGCTCAGTCAGTTGAGCGTCTGACTTGGGTTCAGGTCATGATCTTGTATGGGTTCGGGCCCTGCATTAGTTTCTGTGCTGACAGCTCAGAGCCTGGATCCTGCTTTGGATTCTGTATCCCTCTCCCTCTGCCCCTCCCCACTCATGCTCCATTTCTCTCTCTCTCTCAAAAAGTAGATAAACACTAAGATAAATTAAAAGAAAAAAAGAAAAGGAATGGAGCTCAGGTTGTTGTCTTATTATATGGCAAATATTTATCATAAGGTCGTGGCCCTCAACCCTGCCTACATCACAGTCACCTGCAGGGGTGACTAGCCCCATCCCCGAGCTTTGGGTTCCATAGGTTTGGGGTCGGGCCTGGGAATCTGCAGCTCTAACAAGCTCTCAGGTGATGCTGATGCTTCTGTTTGCTGATTCTTCTGTGAGAACCACTGTCGTAAAGAGATGAGAGTAGGGGGCTCATAAAGCTTAATTGGTGAGTTGAGGATCAAACGTGATAGGAACAAGGCAATTTCTTGCTGTTTATGTTTCTTGTAACTATTTGTGTTTTTCTTTGGGTTTTAATAAAGTGCTTTCTGAAAATATTTACCTATATTGCCCGTTTTAAGGTGAAAGAGGGAAATGGCTGTGTTGGTACATGAGCCAGAGAGAAGAGGGAGCAATGTACCTTACGGTATCTGGAGGGACGACCACGGACTCCCTGGGGGAAAGACCAGGTCACTGAGCAGGACTCTTCAGGTCACAAGTGATAGAAATCTAACTCCTTTCTCTTACAGTTGGACTTGGCTGTGTAAAATAGCAGCTCACTTCAAACAGTGTCTTGAAACCAATTTTCTGTTTTTCTGGTACGACAACAATTCTGGAGGCTAGATGGTCACTGGCATTGCTTTAGCAGCTCAGCAATATCAGGTCTGGTATCTTGGTGATTCTTTTTTTTTCTTCCTTTTTAAAAACAAACAAACAAACAAACAAACAAACAAACAAACAAACGCTTGGTCTTAAAAGAGCTGCTGTGGCTCCAGTCATCACATCTATATTCTAGTAAGGAAGGCGGAAAGTAGAAGGGATATGGTCTACCTCCTCAACTGGTATATCACTCTTGAAGGCTTCAACTGTGTCACATAACCACTTCGGGCTGCAAGGGACACGGACAGAGTATTCTGAGGAGACACATTGCTTCCCCTATACAAAATCAATTTTTCAGACGAGGAGGAATGATGGGATATGAAGAATGCACTGAACAATCTTTCACAGATTGGGGAAAAATGGGGAAGACAGTAGCTTTAGGAGAAAGGCAAAAATGGGCAGCTGCAAGAAAGTTATGGGATTATTGCTGAATAATAAGCCACTCCAAAAATTGGTGTCCTTTAAAGTTTACGTTTAAATAAGCATCTATTTGTTTATCGATCTATAGATTGGCGACTCGTCTGGGAGACTCACCTGGGCTCCATATGGTGTCTGCTGGGTTTAGTGTTGCATCTGTGACCTTCGCCAGATGGCTGGCGTAGCTGGGAGCTTTGAGACACCTGGGATCTTTTTTCTATGTGGTTTCTGGCCCTGCTGTCACCTTCTTCACATGGTGGCAGGAAGGTCCCAGAGAGTCACAGGTTATTTATTGTTAAGCAACACACCACTCTAAAACAGGGAGAAATAAACAACCGCCCTTTCATTTGCTCACAACTCTGTCCCATCATTTCAGTCTGGGCTCAACTTGCTGCCTCTTCTGCTGGTCTCTGGAATCCCTCGTGTGACAAAACTGGGGCCAGGTGATCTGGGGCGGTCTTCCTTTTATGTCCAGCAAATGGTGCTGTCTGTCGGCTGAGCCACTTGTCTCTAGTAGGCTGGGCTTCTTTTCATGCTAAGCTCTAAAAGCAGCAAGGGAGACAGTGGGTCCCAACATGTAAGTGCTTTCCAAGCCTCTACTGTATCACACTTGCTGATGTCCTACTAGCCTCGGCCAGTCGAATGGCCAAGACGCGAATCAGCGTGGGAGGGGTCTGTGCGGGCTGTGTGTACGAGGAGCCGAGGTTTAAGTCTCCCACGTGTACCTTGAACCGAGGACTTGGAGGCCCACAGGGCTCTCCCCATCACGTCTTTGCTTTTCTCTACATGTCTTCTTCATCCCTGTAGACACAAGCCTTCCGCTGAGCCTGGAGCCACACCTGACCCTCAGCTCCAGGAACCACTTTGCTCAATTTTCCAGCAAAGGGAAGCGGGGCTTTCCCGCTTCAATGCCATTCTGAATGCCACTGGGAAGGACTCCTATGGATCTGCTTTCGGTAAAATGCCCTTCCTGTGGCGAAGCAATGAGGGTACCATCTCTGGCAGCTCCCGCTAGAAGGCATATTTGGACAGGGGTTGCCGACAGACGGATCTCAGAGACGCAACCCTAGAAACAAAGGGGTGTCTCCTCCGGGATAATGGAGATCTACTGTCCAGAAAAGACGACTATACGCCCATAGACACTCATAGGGGCCACGTGAACAGAAAACCTCACGGACTCTTTTGTGGATATTTTGTGTTTGTTTTGTTAGTTGGTCAGGAGGGAGGACTGATTTTAACAAACACAGTGTCGATCGTTTTCCAAAACACTACACCAATCTACAAACTTCCCATCTCTTCTTTGAAAAAATGCACACGAACACCCACTGCTGGCCCCAGTGGGAAGGTTCTTTACTGGGTGTTCTTTGTGGCAAATATACGATAGCAGTGACTTGGCCTTGTCACTCACCCGCCCCTGACGTTGTGTGGGGATAACAGAACACGCAAGAGCAAAAGAAGAAAGACCTGAGTCCTTAACTGGCACATTGGTCCTATCAGTGAAGATCTACTTTTTCCCCCTCCAATCCCATTAGGAATTTAAGAGTATGCTGAGGACGTTTCGCATTATGATCGGTGAGTGTATGGGCATGAAAACTGCTGGGATTGCCTCTGCTTTGCGTGGCCACTGACAGGGAACTTTCCAGGTGAGTGTCATGGAGGGGCCCCAGCTGGAGTGGAGTGTGAGGGCCCACTCTTGCCTTTTTAATTGGAGTGAGGGACAGGAAAGAAAAGCAACCACTGAGGGTGCTTGGAGCGTAGGAATGCTGGCCTTTGGGGAATGGGATCCAGTTTCCACAAATAGCAGAGATTCCTGAAAGGCTTTGTGGCAGGCTCTGCGGGGTAGCCATAGACCTGCTGTGTCACGTGCTTCACTGCTGCAGGACCCCGTGAGCCTGCTCTCCCCTTCCCGGGGGCCTTAGCGGGTGCAGCTCATTTCAGAAACTCCCAGACACAACCACCACTCAGAAGCACTCCATTAATTGGTGGATCTGGCCCCTAACGGTCTTGGTACCCTGCGGCATTTCACAGCCTCCCCTTCTGCCCAGCGAACCTTTGCTAGTAATTGTGGGGTCACCACTTCTAGTTAACGGGTTCTGGTTTGCCTTCAAGGGGCTGCTGAATTCAAATCTGGACTCTGTGTTAGCAGTGAGGGTGTGTTTGTAAGTAGGACTGCTGAGGAGTCTTGGCTGCGACTTTGGAACCTGAAAACAGGCTGGCTTCACATACAGCCGGCTGAAAATCCACGTTTCCTCTCACCACTCTCTTCCGTGGTCCCCCATACCCACGGGGCCTGGGGAGACCTGTCTGGGAGACGCCTGGGCCCACACTGGGATTTCTCAGCCGATGAAACAGAAAAGCCAAGATGAGAAGAATGACATTCCAATCAGGCAAATCGTGCTATGGTCCATGAGAAGCCACAAGGAGAGCCGTGTGCCTTTCTAAAATGGCACTTTGTTGGGGCGCCTGGGCGGCTTAGTCGGTTAAGCGTCTGACTTTGGCTCAGGTCATGATCTCATGGTTCGTGGGTTCGAGCCCTGCGTCGGGCTCTGTGCTGACAGCCAGCTCCGAACTTGGAGCCTGCTTTAGATTCTGTATCTCCCTCTCTCTTTGACCCTCCCCTGCTCACACTGTCTCTCTCTCTCTCTCTCTCTCTCTCATAAATGAATACAAACATTAAATAAATAAATAAAATGGCACTGTGGGCCCAAGGTGGTTTTCAAGGTTGGGCTATGGAGCAAGGAACCAGTTCAGACTATTTAGGGTGCGCTTGTGGTGCTGGGGGTGGGGAAGGCGGCTGGGGGGCAGGCACAGCCAGGGAAGAGTTCACGTAACCACCTATTCCAGTGGGGATTTTTCCATAGCGGTATCTCAGGGACCCGCAAGGGGGAGAGTAAGATCTGCGACGTGCTTGTGGGTAGAATCTGGGCAGGATTGCACTCCTACTTCAGCCAGGGTCCACCCGTTGTTATATTTTATATACTGAGTGACCAGCTAGGATGCAGATTTTTAAAAATTAGTCGACTTTTTAGAGCAGTTTAGATTTACGGGAACATAGCAGAAATTAGAGTTCCCCAAATCCCTGTCCTCTCTACTCTCCAGTTTCCTCTGTTATTAACATCTTGCCTTAGTGTGGTACATTGGCTATAATTGATGAACTAATACTGATACATTATTATTAGAGTCCATAGTTTAAGTTAGGGTTCACTCATCACTGTACATTCTAGGAGTTTTGACGAATTCATGATGTCATGTATCCACATTATAGTGTCACAGAGAATAGTTTCACTGTCCTACAAGTGTCCTGTGCTCCATCTATTCAGCCCTCCCTGAACTCCTGGAAACCACAGCTTTTTACTGTCCCCATAGTGTTCCCTGTGTCCTATCATTGCAATCATACAACATGTAGACTTTTCAGATTGGCTTCTTTTACTTCGTGCCATGCACTTAACTTTCCTCTATGTTTTGTCGTGGCTTGATAGCTCATTTCTTATTATCCCTGAATAATACTCCATTGAAAGGATATACTACAGTTTGTTGGGTGCAGACTTTAAAAGAGGTCTTCTACAGAAAGCATATTTGAAACCCACTTGTTTAGAACACAACAACAACAACACTGGTTTAGAGTTAATGGCTTCTTTTATGAGGCGGCCAAGATGTTGGGTAGGCCACCTGCAGGGACGGCACCCATGTAAACAGACGGGAGGGTGGGCAAGAAGGATTGGTTCACAGAAACCCTCAATTCCTACGTACACATAAAAGACAATATTTAAAATGGCTGGTATTAAGAGAAAGAACACTGGACAGGAATGAGAAGATGTGGTCTAATAGGAGTTGAGCATAGAGGGACCATTGATTGATTGATTGATTGATTGATTCATTCATTCAACACTGATTTACTAGATACCTCATTGGAAGATGTCATGCTTGGTACTGGGAATAGAAGAATGAACAAAACAGTTGCAGCTGATGGAACTTTCAGGAGGGTCAGGTGCTCACCAAACAGGTCACGCTAGTGAATATACAGCTACATACAGAATGGAGAGCCAGGGATGGTCCCCATAGGAAGGGACACTTGACCTGAGATCTCAGGAATAAGTCAGAGTGGACCTGGGCGAGGGAGGAAACTGTTGCTCTTGTGACCCACTCCACCCGAGTCCTGCTTATCAGACTCTTCTAGTCCACAGTCCTCACTATAAGGTAACTCCATGGTAGAAATGTAGCCCTTTGGGGAATTGGGGGTTGGGGCATCCCATGGACATCACTCTGTGACACCAACCCCAAGGGCTGTCTAAGTATCTCCACGCAATGCAAGAGGGCCAAAGACAATGAAGCTTTATTTCTTGCTTGCTGTGTTTTCTGTCTCCATTTTTCCTACAAAACAGATTTTGAGCCGTCAAGATATTCCAAACATGGAAGTTACAAAATTAAATAAAATATGGCGTTTCTCTTCGTGGATGAGGCTGATGAGTCAGCATACAGTTACAGAACACACTCTGAAGAAGGCAGCTCTCTCACGGTGTTCTGAGGCATCTGAGTGGGGTCCTCCTGTGTTATGTATTGAGTGCCTGCTGTATGCCAGGCATTGTGTTGGGCCAGGGATGGAGAGACGAAGGAGGTACAAGATCTGTACCTCCCTTTCTAGTGTAGGAGATGACCTGTCAATGTAAGTTAGTACCATGGGTGCCAAGAAAGGCATAAGAACTCCTTGGAAGAAGACACTGTTGAGAATCCTCGCTTAAAATCTCTTTGTGCTTTAGTCAAAGGAAGTAGACTTCTTCCTAATTTATGGAAATGCATGTATGTAACTATTTTGGCTAAAAAATTCTTTTCACTTAATCTGCGGCCTGAGATGATATATTCTTCACTCTGCAGAGGGAGGCTCAGTGTTGCAGAATGAAATAAAGATCATTCAGCTTCCTGAGGTAGAAGCCAGAAACCAGCACGCAGAGGTCAGACCTGCTCAGACACACGTGGCATCTTTAGTTAGTCCTGGCTCTGAATTTTACTAGGGACGAGTGAATGAATTAGATGCTGGGGGTCAAATGTGGCCCCTGATTTTCCTTTCGAATAAAGAATCAACCATACCTGGTCCTTGTCTATTGGCCCCAGTGGGAGTCTCTCTTGGCTTCACCCCGGGGCCATTAGAGAAAGGCTGGTGGGGGTTCTGGAATAGGATTCCCAACCAGGATTTAAATGTGTCTGATGTCCCCTCATAGCCTCTCTGCACATGCAGATTTTGTCTGTCCCAGCATCATACAGTGAGTCCGGGATGCGGGGGCAGCAGGCCCAGTGAGGATGTCTGTCTTTTGCTCACTTTCTTTTGGGTAAGTTCTCTGCCTGATGAAGAGGCTGGCGAGTGCCCACGCTGTCTGCACTGTGTCATTCTGCCCACCGCACATTCCCGTGAGGAGGTGCTAGGGGCCGCATCTCCCAGGGTTCCCAGCTTGCTGCCATCCAGAACCATTCACTGCTGTTCCAGAACAGCAGTTAAGAACATGGGCTCTGGATGTAGGCAGATCTGGATTTGAAATCCAGTTCTGTGAGGTCACCTACAAGTTGCTACACTTCTCTGAGACCTGTCTGTACAATGGGTATAATAATAATACCTTTATCAGGATCCTGATAGGGCATAGGCACCGCCCTCAGGTTAGGGTCATTCAAACAGGGCTTATGTACAAAAAGGGAGGCTATAAATACATGGAAACCACAGGAGGTAGTGAGGTAACTCAGGTTAGGTGCATAAAGCTGTGGCTGCATGTAGGCTAGTAGGAAAGAGGCCAGAGACAAGTGATAGGAACTAGAAGGAGGAAGAGGTGCTTAGAAAAGGCCTCTTTGAGAAAAGCCAAGATCTCAGTCTACCAGAAATGGCCTCACAGGAGAGAAGCTGACCTTCCTGACCTTCCTTTCTCCAAAACCCTGTTGCCCTGAGGCTGCCTATTGGCCAAACCCAAGAAGAAGCTGGAGGGCATTCGGGCAGGTGATAGAAGCCTTACAAACCAGCCTCCCAGGGCCGAGAGAGAGCAAAGTGGAGGAGGGTGAGGATGGCCGTGGAGGGTCAAGAGAAGATATCCAGCAAGACCAACTCACAATATGGTGGAGCTGATGACATCAGCCAATGACCTTCAGGGCTTCAGTTCCTGCTGCTTAGTATTTACGGAAGGTAACCATGACTATTAGTGTTTCTATTTTCTATATCAAAGGTTAAAGAGTTGGTGATGCTTTAGGGCTAAGTGCATGAGGCAAGGCCTACCTGGAATAATTTGGGTTACGCATGTGGCCCTCCCGGAGCCCAAGTAATGATGAGTTTGTGCTTCCTTTGGTATCAAAGGAAACTTTAAGTGTTGTGTCTCCTGTCCTGAGAAATGCTCAAATACTTCTTCGAACCCACTTTCTGCGCTTGTCTCATCTTTCCTTTGCCGTTTCACATTGTGTGGGAATGTGCTATCATAAAGAAAACGTGATTTAAGCTACTAATCACTAAAGTAATGGTTCTCAAAAGAATAAGGGTTATTTGGGTTATTGGAGGGGCAGAACATGGGGACTCCACTTGCCAAGATGCAGGATGTGTGGAATGTAGCGTATGAAGATGACACAAGCTCTTATCATCAAAGAGGCTGATGTATCATAGAGATACATCCATCTCCGGTCTTGGTATTAACAGACCTTCCACGTGGTCCTTTT